GTATACTAGATGTGTGCAGGTATATCCCTGGTGACTCCTCTCTCTCTGTCATAGTCGTATGCATTCAAGCACATGGATACAATAACACAGAATGTCAGGTAATCCCAGTGAGCAACCTTCAAGCCACTGGAGAGCCACTGATCAAATGCTGCGGACACGCCTCATCCATAATGCACACATGGAAGTAACACTATGCCCCCTCTTCACGTCCCTCTACTCCCCTACCTCTGTCCTCCCTCCTCTTGCAAAGACTAAGAGGAAAAAGAAAGCATAGCATTTCACTTGATCTCAAAAAGCAACGTAAGTAACAATTGTGCTGGTGTGTGTATTGTATTTGGAATGGGGGGGACATGTAGCCATCACCCACACACACACAGACTACATTTACACACAGGCTTCCCCTTGAACTCATTTATCTAGTGCCAAGCTTCGGCATGAGCCTTCACAATGATGAATCTCCCTTCTTTCTTTCATGCTCAACTGTCCAACTCTGGTTGCTCACCAGCTTAATCAGTCATTCTCTCCGGGTAAACTGAGATGGGAAAAATGCAGACATACACTGAGCATGAAGAGATTTTTGGTACAGAATGGGTTACTGTCCCATTTGGGTGTTACCTGTACTGCTTTGAATCCCTTCACTTTTAGAATGTCAGGGAAATATGCTGGTCACTAGGGACGGGTTAAAAGGGAAGCGAGGAAGCAGAGGTGTCTTTGTCCTGTTCTCTTCTCACACTATCTGGTTGTGTCTCATTGTTTCTCTCTCTCTCTCTCTTTTGTTTGCATCACTTCTTCACTCTTGACTCTTGTTCCTTAGCCTCATTATCTTCAGATGTCCCTCCCTCCTGTTTCACTGACACTCACTGTATCTCTCTGCCTCTGTACTTGCTTTGGCTTTAGTATTCTTTGTTTTTAATAGTACACAACAAAGTTGTGTGTTTTTTACTTGTTTCAAAAGCAACTATTTCCCTCTTCTGGGTGGCTTTCAAGTTTGTGTTGAGTCTTTCCTCAACACAAACACTTTGTTTGCTTTCTGGGCCTGGTTAGTTGTCTGTCACTTGCATGCTTGGTTATGCATTGTTTCCCCCTTGAATCTGGTCAGTGGTTTACTCTTTGTCTGTATGGCTTGCCTTAACCTTCCTGGTATACTACAAACCTTTGCTTCTCTTTTTTTTTTTTTTTTTTTT